CCCTCCTTTGCATATTGCATGACCATCATGAATTCTTGTGTTTTTGTATTTTGGGTTATTCCATAACATGGAATTACTTTATTATCATTAATTTTTATCGATTTTATTTGATTTCTAATCTCATTGAAAAGTATTGTCGTATCTTTTAGATTATATAAACTCTTTAAAGCAACTTCGGTATTAGATTTTCTTGACCAACATTTTTTCTCGATATTCCATTCGCATATATAACCATCCTTCCATGTGGCTTTACATACTTCACCGGATCCGCCTTTAGCAAGAAACTTGAAATCGGTGAATTGGTCGTAGGGAATCCACTCTAATTTTTGAAACGCATTTGATGCTTGGAGTTGCGTATCTAGAATAAAATCGTCAATGTCTTTACTTCCACTTGTCCAAAATTTGGAATATTCCTCAAAATGTCGTGCGTTACAATCTTTACACCAGGGCCAAGAATTGTCTAGCCGATGGCATTCTTTGCATTTATTGTTTGAAAACATAAGAGATTTCTAAAGGTTATCAAATTTTACATGAATTCAATTTATTTGGTTTTATCATTCTAAATCAGGAAATTGTCTTTAAGGGAAGTACGCGAATTTTCGAACAATCATGAAATTTCTAGATATTTAAATCAATTAAAATTACATCTTATTACGGAATAATGCAAATAATACGTATAAAATTTTTTATGATTATAGCCAATTTTAGGATATAAACTACTAACTTATACTGTATAAAGAATTTTAAGAAATTTAATCAAATAAATTTTTTAAAAGTTCTAATTTGGTACGTATAATGTGTTCCAATTTCTTATAAACAAGTTTTTTCTTTTTTAAAAAAAAATTTACTATAAATAATTTGAATTTTCAATTGTCTATTTCTATATTGAATTAGTAGTAGTTGAACTCATATGGCGAAAATTTTTGATTTGAATTTAGATAATTATCAGTTGCATCTTTATCTCCTATAATTAGTATATTTTATGGCCTATGTAGATCAAATTTGGT